AGATGAGCGAATCCTTTCTCACAACTACTTCCTACTCCTCGATCGCCACGATCCTAGCTGTTCTCTGCTGCTGGATCCTTCATCGAGATACAGAGACTACAGGTGGTCACGGTGTCGTTTTCACTGCCGGAATCTTTGGAACGATCAGTTTGTCGCGAATGTGGAAGTTTACGTATTTCTCTAGGTCAGTTTTAAGACGTTCGCGACGGGAAACGTGATTTCAAAGTCTTCAGCTGAATACGGGCAACGTAGTCCCACGTGATTTCCAAAATGGCGGCAAAACCTTGCCGTACTCAGCTACAAACTTTTCGAAATTATACGCCGTATTCAGCTGAACGTTTTGTCCGGCTATCGCCCGTCGCGAAACTGTTGATCTAGTCATTTTCGGAAATTCATCGATATTTTTCAAATATCCGAATGTATCCAGATACGGATTGTCCGTGAAACATGTCCGAGTTATGACCACAGCGATCGTTGCCATAATCTGCGGTCTGTTGGCTGTTTTGGACTCTTACACGGTGTATCTTATGGTAAGTTTGTCGGTGTAAGTATAATATTAGAGATTGGACGGTAGTTTTTGAAACGAAGGACAAGTTTAATCGAACCTAGCCCGAGACATGTAAATGAGAGAACTAGCTGCTTCTTATGGTAGTGATCGTGCCACGAATTACACACAACGTTACAACGTTATCGAGAAGAGCGGAGCTTACTCCCGGCACCGAGTTAGCAAACATTTGTTTTACATTTACTCAGCTTGTTTGAATAATAATGTTTATTATCGTAGCCGGAGCAGGAGTAGTCGGGCTTATCGTGCGGCGGCACGAACTTTTCTTGCTGTAAACTAGATCGCAAAAATAGACCCCATCCCTATGCTTCTATTCGATATTCAGTTTCTAGGAAACACCGATAAAATGTTTCGTGCTTAACGCGAACATTTCCTCCTTCGAGTTGAAACGATTTATAAGGTGTGCAGTAGAATTTGAAAATAATCAAACCTGATGCTGTGTAATGGTGTTCGCTGTGAGCAGTTGCAGTGTGAACGATGAAGTCAGTTTTTAGCAATTTCGTGAGTGAAATTAGTCAAACTTAAATGGTACCATTGTAATGAGTAGTCTTAGAAAAGTTACTTTGCCATCTTTTACCAATTTTAGTCGGGAGATTAAGTAAACCTATACGGTACCATTGTTCGATATGAGCAATCTCAATGTGAACGAAAAGGACACTTTGCCATTCTTCTACCAATTTCAGTCACGAGATTAATCAAATCTAAGGAGTACCGTTATTAAATATGAGCACCCTCAGAAAAGTCACTTTGCCATTTTTTACCAATTTCAGTCACAAGATTAAGTAAACCTAAACGGTACCATTCTTCGCAATGAGTAGTCTCAATGTAAACGAAAAAGTAATTTTTTACCAATTTCAGTCACGAGATTAATCAAACCTAAGTGGTACCATTGTTCACAACGAGCAGTCTCAATGTGACCAAAAAATTGACTTCACAATTTTTTTACCAATTTCGATCACGAGAATTCTTACTCACCCTCGGATAAATCGATCCTTCTCCGAGTAATTATTCGTCGAAGAAATTTCTGCGAATATCTAACAGAAGGAGGGCGATATTTCACGTTTAATTATACCCGCGTGAAGAGTAGGCTCGTTTAAGCCCTAAGTGGTCTCTCGATAGCAAGTAAGCCGAGATTCCATGGCTGCGTTCGCTCCAAATATATTTCGCGTGTGCACATTTCGCTCCTTGACCCAGTAAAAACAACCGGCTGGAGCATGCAAATAGAGCCCCGTGTCTTAACGCGTCGCCGCGAATAAGTCAACTACGAGATTCTCGCCCCCGTCTAGACGAGAACTAAGAGGAGGAGGTACTTGATCGAACGAGGGGAGAATTGGAGAACAGTGTACAAACACGCGGAGGCCACGTTCCTCGATAGGATCACCTTCCATTGGATGATCGAGCTGCTATCCAAGGGATACGGCACGCCCCTGGACAACCACGACCTAGGACAACTTCCGGAGGAGGAATCCACTGGCAGACAGTTCGAGAAGTTTCGGAAAGTTTACGAGAAACACAGGGTAATTGAAGAAACGAGAATGTCGTAGTTTTCATCGTTTATTAATTAGAAGAAATCTTACGTTTGATTAATTAAAGAGTTCGTTACAGAGATTGTGATTTAGAATTTTTGAGTGGGTACATGTTTTGTTGGTCGATATTTTGCAATCGTAACTTAATGCTTAATACAAGTGTATTTTTATAATGACCAATTTCCAAATTGATTGTAGTAATAATTAGATAAATTTCAAAGAAATCTGACAATTGTCTAGAATAATATTAAATAATAAATCAATATCA